TCTACAGTATGCTGTATTTGTAATAATTGTAGAGAACATTTTTGTCTCTCTTTTTTGAAATAGGTCTATTTCTATATAGATCTACACTGACATATGAATCTTTTGTTTCCTTTTTTTTTTCTTTTTTAATCTCAATTGCATTTTGAAGAATTATAGCTGTTTCTCAGATGGATTTTCTAAGTTGGCCAAGCCTTTTTTTTTTTTTTTTTTTTTCCCAGAACGACAGTAGTTCTCTCTCCTATCTTTTCCCTCCAAGGGAGACCTCAATCTTGTTAAAATTTGAAAAAATGCTTTTAAGTATTGGACACCTAGAGGTGTTCAGTAATGTAATTTCTCACAGTTGCTGTAGGAAATATTGGCAAATTATACCCCTCAGTTGAGATGGTTTGTGCTCCAGTCCTATTTCTCATAAAAATATCTAGCTTTAATGAGAATTATTATACTCAGAACTAGATATATTATTTTCCCAAGCTTTTCTGAAATACTGCTGACAGCTGCTTAAAAATTACAAAGTCTTTTTTTACCTTACATAGCTGTTTAATTTCTTCACAATTACAAAGTTTCTGGTAGTTTGTCCTCCGTGCTTAGTGTCGTAGTTAAATTTTGAAACTGCTCCTTCACCAAACTAATATGAGTAGACAATAATAATAAAAAAGGACCATTCACCATTAACATGCTTTTGCCAATTTCTTGTCAAGACTTGGCTAGGGCTGAACCCAGAGATCTTCTGTTTATGCACTATGCCCATGAGCAATTCCTGAGTTAAGATTATGGGATAGCAAATTGAGACATATGTGCTACCATGAATTTTTTGTGGATGCATGCCTTTACCTGTACCAAGGCTCACTGCCGTCAGCATGACTCTGAGCCCAGCTGGAAGCCTGCCTGAGCAGGGCTTATGTGGGGCTGTGGTACTGATGGGACATACTGTGAAAGCTGAAGTAAGGACCAGGCACTTTCACAGACCCCTTGCTTAGGTGACTCTTCACATGTATCTTGTATTTTCCTAAAAACTAGGTCTACTCTGCAAAAGAGTTTTGCTTGTGCTTTGAGTAGTCACTCAAGACAGGTTTCACTGTGTAAATTGGTGTGCATGTACTACCTTCAGCTCTCATGGTAGGCAGGTATCTTCTGTGCAGAGAGGCAACGCTTGCAAAAAGGACATTCATTATCATAAATACAGAGAGAGCAGGAGACAATGCTTTGTCCCTCACTCCTTAATAGAAGAGTATAACTATATAAGCTGAGAGTCACAAGGTGTATCAGATGACACCTGCTATCTCTGCTGTTTGAAATACACTTCTCATTCTTTTATTCTTTCTTCTTTAATCACGCAGAATAAAATTATTTTTATCTCTCAAGAAGAAATATCTTTGTTTTGTTTGTAACTATTGTTCCACAGATTCTTTGGCAGCTGATGGCTTGGTTTCATCATTTATAGAACTAAAACTTCATCCTAACATTTTGTTGGGTTTTTGTCTTAAAATTATGGTGTGCAGAAAGACAGCCTCCGCCTGCTATATAAAAAAAAAAAAAAAAAAAAAAAGAAAAGAAAAAAGATACTGTCTCTTTAATGAAACAAAAGCAACAATAAACTGTATTACTGAATGCAAATGCAATAAGGAATAACATATAGCTCTGGTTATGTTATATGACATTTAGCAGTATTAACATATTGCACAAAATCTGCATTTTCCCTATTGTAGAAAATAAGACTATAAAGGACAAGGGAAATTAATTTCTTCTACATGATCATAAAATAAATATTCTTTTTTTTCTCTTTTTCTTCTCATCAGTCATTTGCAGGAAGATTTTAGTGTTACTTCTTTGTTAAGCCAGCTCTTTATCATGTATGTATTAGGCATACAGTACAAGGAGAAATGGAACAAGATGGCAGTTATAGCAGTGGCAAGATGCAAATTTATTCTGAAAAAAAGTAGTATGTGCACAATATCAAGCATGCTTAAGTTTGTGCCAGGAAAACTATTACGAATGAAGAATGGATGGGATGGAATTTTGCATCATACATGATTACATGTTGCTTAACTTCATAGAAGAGTCTTTGTCTACTCCTGATGTCCCAGGTACCACCAAGAGAAGCTTCTTACCACACTGCTAGAGTGAAAATGGCAACACTTACCCCAGCAGAATTCAACTGCAACATAACTTTTTGTTTCAGAAATTAAAGAAATAGACCTCAAAAAGATGACAGAGAAAATTCACAGACCATTGAACTGCAGGCACTAACTCCAGGTAAGGAGAGGGGGATGAATTTATTACATCTTGTATTTGTAATTAAAAGTCTGTAATTGTTTTCTGCTTCATTTTCCCCAAGTTTAATTAGGCTACATTATGTATGTGATGTTGTTGTCACTGTTTTTCCTCCTGTCTCTCTCATATTGTATGACACATGACTGAGTGTAGCCAAGCAGTGGAGGAGTCATTTTTCACTGACACCACTTGAAAACATTTTTATAGAAAAATAAAAGATGAAGAATGAAAAAGAGCAGAAAAGAAGAAATAAAATACCTTAAAGATAGATCTCTACATTAGTTCATCATGAAGCAAAAGAGAAATAATAAAAACTCTTCTTCAGGTGCCAATTCAATCGAGATGAACCGGACTAGGTACTGTATTGGTACAGTGTAAAAATAGATGACAGTGAGTAATGGTGTGAACAAAAAACCATGAGGAACATCACAGGAATGGATGTTGGATGGCCTTTGCACAGCAGAGGTAGATAAAAGTTATAACAAACTGTTTACTGACCATGTACACTTACTAGAATTAAGAGGTCAGTTGAACAAGAGCTCACCTAGTAAGAGCTTTCTCAGTAGTGTGACATATCAGCTGTTGTACAGTACCAGAGCACTGCCCAGTTATTGCTCCATCACTTTTCAGTAACATTTCTGTCCTTCAAAAGTCTACATTCTACCATTAGTTAAGGCTTTTTCTTTTGCATTTCTACATTTTCCCCCAATTTTGCATCAATTCACTGTAATTAATACATGTGCCTCTAAAAGAAAAGAAAATAAATAAAAAAGCACCATGTTTTATTGAACAAAATATAGCATGTGCAAGGAAGGGAAGGGAGGAATTATAGAAACAAACCAGTGCTGAAGAATTTTGCATTAGCTGGTGCTTTTTGTTGTTGTATTTGCACAGATCGTTTTAGGCTCCTCAGTCCAGGTTGTAGCAAAACACTACCAAAACAAATACTCTTGCAAAATATTTGAGCTTCGCAGCTTAACATGTGCATCTTGAACCGCTTAAGCAGCATGGTTATCTTCTTTTTGTTTTTCTCCAGAATTTAACAGACCGTAAATTGTATACAAAAACGCATTATGCACCAGTGATTAAATGTTCTTACAACATTAATATTTATCAAGGGGTATTTCATAGCTAGAAAGTAGGTAACTATATTTTATTTCCTAAGAGAACATTTTCTATAGTTTTCCTTCATTTCCCAGCTACACAGCAAACATCTCTAAAGTGCACTTCCCAAGTGTAGTTAGAGAATAGGAAGGAATGTAAAGTTTTTAAAAACAGCCCTTATTAACTTTTCCTTCCATTGATTCTACTGTAAACTCTAAAAAGCCTTTTTAAAAAGCAAATTCTCATACACTCAGCAGGTGAAATGCTCCCACAAAAAATAAAAGTAAACAAATTCAAAACCACCCCGAACAATGAAAAACCAGCATATTACAATCTTTTCTCTTGACTACTCATATCCTAGTATATATTTACTGTTTTTATTGCACATTTATGAAAACGGTTGTCCTATATATTTAAAAAAAAATATTTTCTTTATCTGTGCTAACACATTCTTGTGCATTCTTAATAAACTAGTTACTTTCAACAACATGTAGGTAATAGAAAAACAATGGAATCAAACCAATGAGATAATTTGTATTGTAGATGTTAAAAGACTTCTAGTGTAATTCAGTTGTGAAAAAAGAATTTTGGAAGTTCTTGGCTCCCATTTGTTATGGAAAGCTGCTGGTTATGTGACAGCAGGAGAACTCAAAACATGATTCACAATGAATGTCAATCCTTCACCTCCAATATGAAGGCTTCTCAACCATTCAACTTGCTGAGCATAACTGGTTTTACTTAACACATCTAGAAAAGGCTGCTCCTGTTCAACTGACCAGTGAGAAAGGACTGGACTTCTTCAAAACGGGTATTGGAGCAACAGTTTGTTATATATACTTCTTTATACTTTTTAACTGTCCGATCCCACCTTGTAAGGAGAGCACTTGTTTGTTCAGCTAAAAGGAACCCCCTTCATGCTCCATTTGGGTTTGCTCAGTCAACTGTTTTGTGCAACAGTGGCAGAGGCACACTAGAATTGTGTACCCATTCATTGTGATTACACAGACAGAAGCAAATGTATGTTGTCTGTGAAGGTAGATGGGAAAGGGAAAGGGAAAGGAAATTAATGGTTCCCACGGATAAGAGGACAGTAACGTTTGTTTGGGGCTCTTTTCGTGGTTGTTTTTTTAATTATTATTATTATTTTATCTTTTTTGGTTAAATTTTGTATTTTTTTTTTTTTTTTTGCTATGTCATGAAATCATAGCAGTCATTCCTCTAATAGAAACTGACAGGACATAAAAGACAGAACTATCAGATGAACACACACAATGACTAGAAATATATCGACAGAGAAAAGACTTAATTTAGCTTCGAGAAACTGTCCCAAAAATAAAATCCTGTATTAACAAGTGCAAAAAACAAACAAAAAAAGAAAAGAAACTCCAAACATTAAAACACAGTGTATAAAATGGTGTGAGAAAGTTAAGTCACCAAACAGCCTTTTAGTCAATAAAAAGCTGCATTTGTGTGTCCTTGTTGTTTAGGTAGCGGCCCATACTTTTCAGTTTACCCAAAACGTCATTCAAGAAGAGCTCTGAGGGTAAAGCACTCAGTCTTTGCTATTTTTGACTGTAGTAATTTGGGCCTGTTGTGTTTCTATCATGTAAGATGAATCCTTTCTTTTATTCCTCATTGGTTGAATTATCTTCCAAAGTCGTTATGCTTCCAAAGCCCAGTCCTGTTGTGTTCTGTGCTGCTGAGACTGTAAGTACTGTATGTAAGAGAATTAATACAAGAACACACAGTTTAAGTCTGCTGTTACACAGTCTTGATGCTGATGAAACTGTGAGCGATGTCCTGTGACACATTGTTGAGCCACTTGTTTTTATAGTCCCTTTGGGTTGATGATCTGATAATAGTCCCCATCTGACATCACAGCATTCTGGTTCTGCATTGGTTGGATAGTTTTCATAGAGCCCTGTAGGGTAAACACAAAAGAAAAATAAATACCAGGCACAAGGATTGGCAAGAGTAGTAGCTTGAAGGAACAGCTGACATTTAGTCTAATCTGTTGAATCCATATCTTTGGGTGAGACTGCAGCCCTTAGAAGTCCTGTCATTCTGTGTAATTACAGATGTTGAAGGAATATCCACAATCTGACAGGAAGCAGCATCAAAAGGTCATTCAGCGGAAGCATGACACTGAGCATGATTGTGTAAAGAAGCAACATTAAAAAGCAGTTGATATTTGAATGACAAAGGTGTTTGAATTCTTCCTTCTTGGGAAGTAACAAACAATGACAAAGTAAGAACTAATCAATCCAGATGTTTTCACAAAATTTGGACTTCAAAATTCTTCTTTCAGTATGTGATCACATAAAGACATGCATTAAATAACAAATAATGATGTACTGATGATATTGGCTGATTTGATTTTCAAACCTATGTAAATTAAACTGCATCACAGGAACAGCTTGCTAGCTCATTGGAGTTCTTCCAGCTGGATATTGCCTTCAACATATCCCAGAGGTGAAAAAATCTGTCCTTGCACACAATGATTGGATCTCTTGATGTTTCTGATTATAAAGATGGGTAATTTTTGCCTTTGAACTTTACTGAGTTCAAATGATCCGATTATGACTTTTTGAACACTAAGAGGTACTGCATCTTTTTGGAAATTGTCAGTGTTGTCTACATTACTATATAGGAGATTAACATAACCAGAGTGTTCTGTTTGCTTCTCACATACCTTTTCCTTTGATAAATAAAATAAACTAATTTGACTATTTAACTAATGTTCAAATGCAAGAATGTCTAACATAATGGACAAACACCTTTTCTCCATTTAAACTGATCTTAGATTAAATTCTGCGGTAAATAATATACTCTGTGGTAGAACTAGGTTTTTCTAGGAAAAAAAAAATCTATCTGTGATAAAATATTAGGATAGTGATTTTAAAAGCAGCTTTATTTTTTAGAACGAGAATTATATTTTCTCCAAAATATCACAACAATGATATTACTTTCAAAAAGCAATTTAAGTGTAACATTCGGAGGTCCAGGCACTAGATTTCTTGCACTTTGTGAATAACTTGTAAAGAAAAGCAGTACACCTTAAAATATGATAAACCTGAATGCTTTGGTTCTACTTTCATAAACAAAAAATGTGTTAGTTATGCTGAGAATGTTAAGATGCCTGGGTTGACATATTTTTTCATAGCTGACACAATTATCTGCTATGCTATATCTGAGTCCAAATAAAGTTGCATTTGTTTTTGGATTTAACCAAATTTTTAAAGATACAGGAATGAAAGCAACTTGTTTCTGTAAATGTACTGTAAATTCAGAGTTTATTCTATGCTAAACCTGACCAATTTTTCCACTTCTGCATTCAGAAACTTAATGCAGCATTCCAAAGGTTGAAAATAATTTATTCTCACTCTAGATCATAGCTGAAAGGATCACATTTTTCTTTAAGAAATTCTATTGCATTTTGGAACTTCTGGACAATTGTTCATTGAAGGTATAATAAAAGAGTCTTCTTTTCTGAGACCCATCTTTTCTGCATAAGTCTGTTTTTAAATATTGCAACATAAAGGCAATGCCTTCAAAAGCAAGGAATTATGATTTGTTCTGTGAACTGCAGCAGCTCAAACGATTAGTAGTAATTGAAGAGACACAGAGACTAGTTAATGCTTTGATCCCAATGAGGCTTGTTTACTTTTCAAACTATGTTTTCTGCCTTTCTTGTTACTGGAAAACCCAGACTTCCTTTGAAATCAAAGCTATGTACATAAGTTGGCAATCAAAAGGTATTTAAATAGTTCATATGCACTTACTGAATTATAAATAAATTGATGACAGCTCTACATTCAAAGATGAATTGAACATGTTCCTTAATGCAAAATTACATTTCCTCTCTATTTCCATTCAGCAATTGAATTTAGGTTTTGAATTTGCAGTTCCATATTAAATAAACAATTAACTACAGAGCCTCTATTCATATGACAGTGTAGAAAATTTAGATAAATTCAGTAAAACATTTTGTACTGCACAAAATACATGTTATTCACCACATACTTGTTTGTAGCCACAAATATAAGCTTTTGCCCCTTGGATCTAATTAGTCCATCTATTAAGTCAGAGGTTTACAAATGTGTGACTTAACTGGAAATCCAGGTAAGCTGGCTACATCTCCTTGGAAAATCAAGGATAAAAAACCAGTTTGTTCTTTTATCACAATATTTGTAGAATAATAGAATTGGGTTGGAGGAGACCTTAAAGATCATCTAGTTTCAACCTCCCTGCTGTGTGCAGGGACACCTTTCACCAGGTTGCTCAAAGCCCCACCCAACTTGGCCTTGAACACTTCCAGGGATGTGGACTCCACAGCTTCTCTGGGCAATCTGTTTCAGTTCCTCACCACCCTTGCAGTAAAGAATTTCTTCCTAAACTTCCTTCCTAATATCCAATCTAAACCTACTCTTTCAGTTTGAAAACATTCTCCCTTGTCCTATCACCACTCACTATTTTAAAAAAAGTCTTTCTCCATCTTTCTTGCAGGCTCATTTCAAGTAGTTGAAAGGCACAATTAGGGCAGCCAAAGCCTTTTCTTTTCCAGAGTGAAAAATCACAATTCTCTTAGTCTTTCTTCATGGGAAAAGCGCTCAGTTCCTTTGATTGTCTTGGTGTCCCTCCTCTGGACTTGTTCCAACAGGTTGGTGTCCTTCCTGTGCTGAGGACCCCATAGCTGGATGCGATGTTCCAGGTGAGGTGTCACCAGAGCAAAGCAGAAGGGCAGTGCTGGCCCCTCTACTCACTCCTTTGCCCGCTGGCCATGCTACTTTTGATGCAGCACAGGACACTTTCTGGGCTTTCTGGGCTGTGAGTGCACATTGCTGGATCATGTCCAGCCTCTCATCCCCAGAACTCCCAAATCCTTCAGGACAAGGCTGCTCTTGATCTGCTCATCCCCAGGCAGTTTTTACATCAGGAGTGGCCTCGACCCTAGCACCTTGTACTTGATGTTGTTAAAACTCGTGGGATTCCCCTGGGCCCACTTGAGCTTGCCTAGGTCCCTCTGAATGGCATCCCATCCTTCAGATGTGTCAACTGCTCTACTCATTTTGGTATCATCTGCAAATTTACTAAGGGGGAACCTGTTCTCTTCATTGAGAAAGATATTAAATAACACTTCATTGTAGAAGACCACTCAGTTGGTCAGGAAGGACTGGTCCTTGTTGAAGCCATGCTGACTGTCTCAAACCACCTCCCTGCTCTCCATGTGCCTTAGCACAGCTTCTAGCACAGGATCTGTTCCGTTATCTTCCCAGCCACAGAGGTGAGTCTGACAGGTTTGTAATTCCCAGCCTCTTCCTTGACCTATCAACTCTTACCCTTTTTAAAGATGGGTTCAATGTTGCCCTTGTTCCACTCACCTGGGACTTGACTTGATTGCTATGACTTTTTGAATATCATGGAGTGTGGCTTGGCAACTACATCAGCCAGTTCCCTTGGGTCTCTGGGGAGGTAACCCATTTGGTCTCATAGACTTGTGTACATCCATGTTCCTCAGGAGATGGTGAACCTGATCTTTACTTACAGTGGGAGGGGCTTTGGCTCCAGTCTGCATCCTGCTGTCTGTCCAGTTAAAAGATACAGGAAGAGAGGTTGCCATTCAAGACTGAGGCAAAACTGTTGTTGAGTACCTCAGCCTCCTCCTCATCCATTGTTATCAGTTTTCCAACAATGTTTATAGGGATACACCTTCTTTGGCCTTCCTTTCCTTGTTAATGTATGTATAGAAACCCTTTTTTTTTATTCTTTGCATGGCTTCACAAGTTCAGTTCCAGCTTCCTCTTGACCTTCCTTGCCCCGTGCCTACACAATCTGATTTCATGTCTATGCTTTTCCAAGGTTACCTGTCCTTGCTTCCACTGCCTGTGCACTTGCTTCTCTCCCTTTTGTTTGACTGGTATTTTTTTTTTTTTTTCACTATTAAATACATCAGTATAAGAAATAAAAACAATATCTGTACCCACCAAACTACCAAGACTTCCCTCTTCCTTTCTTGTCTTTATAGTTCAGTTTGTAGACATTTTATATTAATTGCATGTTTGGTAACTATATTTCTGAGGCTGATCAGTCAGCTGTTACTGGCTTGACATGTACTTTGCTTTTCACTTAAAATTCTCAGTTCTGTGTCTTCATTTCCCAACTTTTCCCAGCACTCAGCTGTATTTCATCAGAAGAAATCTTGGTCCATATGGAGGTACTTGGACCTTTATTATAATCAAGGATCTAGAATTTGCCAAGAGACTTTTTTGATTTCAAACCATTCTCCAGACAGATACACTATCACTCACAAAGGTCATGCAAAAGCTCTCTCTTTTCTTTGTAATCAGATAGGTTTTTTCCACATGAAGATAACATTTTGGTGGTCAGCACAGAAGTTACATCTGTAGGGATTGCATGTTACTAATGCTGACGCAAGTATTAAGGCTACTGGTTCCACTGAGATTGTTAATGGAGACATGAAGAGAGAAATCCTGTATGTCCTGCCTAGATGAATCAGACTGAAAGAAAAAGGAGTGACAGCGTGAATACCATATTCACTTTATACAATGTGTCTTGGGGGAAAAGCAGCAAAGCCCAAAAAGTTCTTACACAAAAATTGGAATCACAAAGACTGTCGATGCATGCATGGTCTGCTGATCAGCTAGAACACCATCTAACTCAGAGACTGCTGTGGTTTCTGCCTGAGCAGTTGCAGGAAACAGCCTGTAAAAGCACTGGTTGCATTCCTGTGACTCTCAGCACTGTCAGAATGTGCGACACTTGTGGCTGAATTTGGATCTGCAGCAGTTTGTCTAACTTGGCTTCTTGGTGTATTTGTAGAAAAAGAGTTATGGAGCCATAATATTCTACATTATGGGTAACTAGTCTGGTTGATATATGTGTTCTCATTGCTGGATAAGT